GAGAATTATCCCGGCTTTGCGTTCATCGTTATCCGTGCTCAGCATCAGAGCATGAATCGCACTCTGCAAATTATGTTTTTTTAGAACATCATCAAAAGCCTCTTTCATGCAAGTAAGGCTTTTTCCCCGAAAAAGCTGCGCTGGGTAAAGTTACCCATTGAATGATACCCTTGACAAGTACCGTTTGCTGGAGAAATTAAAGGGGAACAAGAGGCAGAAGGATCTACAGACGTTTGATTAGAGTTACTTGAGCTAGCCGATATGAAATCCTGAATGCGTAAGCTCTAAATAGCGGCGAATGGAGAATTCGGCAGCAAGATCAAAGCCAAGAAAAAGTGAAACACAACGAAAGAGCTCATTTTAATCTAGTTTCGATGAATTCGTATTCCTCTTGGACCCTCCAATGAAATACATGTCATACCTGGTCAATTTTTGCATCAAACGTCGCAAAAAATTCCGCCTGGAACTGATCGCTTTGATCACGTAGCTCACCATTTATATATCTGAAATATCGTATTTTTCTTAAAAAAAAGATTTTTTTTTTCTGTAACGTATGTAAAATATTCTTTCAAAAATTTTTGCAAATTTTCTCTAAACTTTTGTAATATTACTTTTCCCAAAATATTATTTTTCCAAATTCAACACTAGAAACATCTCCTTCCTATTACTATCAGTGAAGAGCAAAATAATTGAAAATAGTTATTAAAGTGATAGCACGTTTCAACAGAAACCATATTTGCGAACGAAACCCTTTTTGTAAATTTTTGGGGGTCGAGAGAGAATCGAACCATTCCTCTTCAAATCTGGACGCGCGTGCTATCCACTACACCACCGGCCCTTGTGCTCCATACACTTTCTAGAGCAGCTTTAAACTTTGTATATGTGCTACTCTATATTTTCCAACGTTGAAACCATTACAATAACACATACTTCCTCCAATTCTTGCTGGCTTTTCGCGGGTTTTCCGCGACAGTCGTTCGCTGGCCAAGGCATCAGCTTTGATTAATTTTTCTTAAAAAAGCTTAAAATTTTCGACGAAAATAAAACTTACTCATAGAGTTCCTTGGCAATTTTTATTCGATACAAATCATTTCCCTTCTTTCGCAAACGAGCGAGGAATTCGCTTGCCACTGTATGTGCTGATGTTTCACGCTTGCTCTCATCCATCCTGAAATGCTGGGGATCGAAAGCGATGAAAAATTATAATTCACAAAATTAATCAGTAGCTTGAGAGAAGCTACCCGTGTTTCATCCCTTAGCTGTAAACAAAGGCACAGAGGAACGGGTGGAGAGGACTGAGAATCAGAGCCCCATACTCGATCCTTATATAGGCTCGGAACCGATTCAGTGCCAGCATTCATCAAAACCATCTGTTCTTTACTAATAATGGTTATTTTACTTTGGTAAAAAGATGTTTCTAGGAGCAGCTACGTAGGAAATCTGGCGAGATGAATCAAATCAAAACAAAAAAAATCTTACCTTTCTGCCTACCCTTTGTTACAGAGTGTACCAAACATCAGATTTTTGCTGAATATCAAGCAAAATTCAACGTTTGCAAAATTTGAACTGCGTGAAACCGACCTGAAAAAATTACAAATTTTCGAAAAATCGAACAAAAAAATTCCTTTCGTACGAAAAATCGATTTAAAGGCTTCAATTAGCTGAAGCAGGTGAATAGCAGTCCTAAGAAAACTCAAATTTGAAGTTAAACTTCAGCAGTTTCGCTTCACACACAGCTATTTCCCCCCGGGTTATAGGCGTGGATCCAGAATGGAATTCTCAGGGGA